GAATGAATAAAAGATATGTGGCTTAATTTCTCTCCATCTATCTCGTTCTTTTGCATATACGGTAGGGTTGCAGGAATCTTGAAAAAATCATTCTCATTTTTTATATAATATTTGTACATATTTATCTGGCATTGTTGAATGTTGATGAGGGCCGGGGACTTTTCTGTCACTCCTGCAGGGGCTCCTACTAAAATGGATGTTGGTTTGCCACTCGATAAGTTATTGTTGAATGTGAAGTAAGTCAGTCTCACCCTTTCTTATAATTGCTAAAAGTAACGATAAGAAATCTCTAGTGTAGGAAAACAGCATATATATTAAACAACAAAATGAATGCTTACATTTTTGCAGAGGGAAAATCCAAGTAGTACTAGTATCAACTGGAAGCTTCAATCCTCCTACATTCATGCATCTACGCCTTTTTGGTATGTACTTCCATTCCATTATCCATTATGGTGCTATGTTATAAGAAATCATGTTTATACATGCTATGCTATTGCTACTTGTTATTTATTTTATTATTTTGGGTAAAATGTCGATAAATCTGTTCAAAAAACTAAATGTACAAGGGGAGATGTAACAAAAAAAAAGGTAGGTTTCATCTCCATTTGGTGGGTGTTCTTCATTTTAATGAATGGGGTCCATAAAATAAAGCTATAGTTTGGTAGATTTTCAAAATATAATGTTCTTATAAGAAAATTTTTAAAAGTATCTGTGTTAATTAGTTTTTGGTTTCATCATTCATGTCATAACTCTGTCAGTGTTACATGACTACAAATGATGGTTACTTGATTATCCGTGTTAACTAATTTTTTTATATTTACAAAGTTGGAATAACATGCTTACAGTTTAATATATATTATTATATCTTTTTTTTAATCATGCCTAGAATTGGCAAGAGACGCACTTAACTCGAAAGGATTTAATGTTGTTGGAGGTTATATGTCACCTGTAAATGATGCATACCAGAAAAAGGTATCATATGATCATATCATTACAATTGACAATTAATTGCTCATCTGTTTTTTCTTTTACCATGAATGATAATTCTGTAGTAAAATTTATTTATAAATTTGATTTTTATGGTCTCATACCCTCTGAACATCGTATTGAATTGTGCCAACTGGCTTGCAAAAGTTCCGACTTTGTAATGGTGGATGCCTGGGAGGTTAGTAATTAATTAGTGGGAGGAGTATAATAAATAATACATTTCTTTTGAAATTATTAAACATAATAATATAGCTTGTTTCTTTATAATAGACTTGTTTATTTCGTAAATCCTATCTGTAGTTTGTGTTAACTATTTAATTAATTATCTGTTTTAGGCAAAACAAAGCTCATTTCAACGCTCATTGACTGTGTTGTCAAGAATCAGGAGCTTTTTTTGTGATAATGGGCTGATACCTAGTGGTATTAATTAGAGTGTACCCTTACCCTTTTGTGATCAAACTATCCTTTTCTTTATTTAGACTTTTTAGTTTAAAGTAGAATTTAAATAGAAGAAACTTTGCACTTTTTTTTTGTAAGTGTAGAATCCCTAAAGGTGATGCTTGTTTGTGGCTCTGATCTACTAGAATCATTTGGCATTTCTGGAGCTTGGATACCTGACCAGGTAAATAAGTAAATGCACTCTTAAATTTCTCTCTTTTGTGGTGTTATACAAAAAGGGAAAATTGCAATAAACTGAAACATACTTTCATTTCCATTCTAATTTTTATAATGTATTGTTCAAATCATGATGGGTTTTTAAACTTGAATGGTTTTAGTGGTCAAATACGATATGATTTGTTTTCGTTTTAGGTAAGGAGTATATGCAGAGACTTTGGTGTAGTTTGTATCCGCAGAGAAGGCCAAGACATTGAGAAAATCATCTCACGTGTTGACATCTTGACAGAATACAAGGTGACCAACAGGGGCGTTTATGTCATTTCACCAATTTTACTATCATATTCTTGATTATATCGATTTTTTGTATCTGAATCATGCAGAGTAGCATCCAAGTGGTTGATGAAATAGTACCAAACCGTATTAGCTCAACTTTAGTAAGGTAGCCACCAAAATTCTACACTTTTGCTATATATACTATATTTTGGGCCTAACATGAAGCTTAATTTTGTTTGTTTATGTGATTATAGAGATTGTATTTCACGGGGTTTATCTGTGAAATATTTAACGTCAGATGAAGTTATTAGTTACATTAAACAAAACAAACTGTATATCAACCCCATTGCCTCACAACAACAAAGCTTGTAGCTCATGGTATTTATAAAAAAAATTATCCAATAAAACTGTCGACGATTATATTTTTGCTGTAATAAAAACCTCTGCTCAATTTATTTATGAGCCTTACTGAGTTCACGTATATCATTTTTGTAAATCAATATTTTTTAAATGTATGAGTAAAACGAGTGAAAAAGATGTAAAAAAAATTGAAACTTGAAAAGTGTTTGTTTAGATACTTACTTACAATGGTTGATTTTTTACTTTTAACAAAAATCTCTCATAATAACAACTAAACTTTTTTAGATTAATGTTTTGTTAATTTTTATCTAATTAACTAGCTAGTAACAGAAAAATGTGATAATACTATTTGGTCAAACTAAAATTTTAAAATGGCATAAAAAGACATTTATGTGTGGATACATTTTGATTTTTTCCGTCTTAGACCTTAATTTTGTTTCTTAAAAAAGACTCAACTTTTATTAGTTCTCTTTTATTTCAGCTTTTGAACCGGTTACCAATTAGTAAATTGAGTTTATTCCATATATTCTGCATTTTATTCCGTTTTAGATTTAATACATTTTTTGTTTTCAAAATAAATCAAACTTTAACACATTCCTTGTTATTTTATTAATGGAGTCGGTTACCAACATGTAATCTTATATCACTCTAACTCACGTCCTAAGCATCAATCACCAATAAAAATAATTGATTTTAAACCCTAGGTCATGTTTCTGTTTCTTCTTCTTTTTGTATACATGCTCCTCTAAAATGGTGAAGCATAACATAAAGAAATGTTGAAATGAAATTACAATATTGTGAGGAAGAAGCTCTTTATTTATCTTTTGTCCTTACTCCTTAGGTTTTTTTTCACAAGATTGGGTATGTTTTCAAAGCTTGGTCCAACACTATTTTTACAAGGTCTGATGGTATGTTTATTTTAAGGGAAAATGTCACATACGACCTATGAACTTTCTAGTGTTTACCATTTTAGTCACTTAACTTTTTAGTGGTTTTATGAGGGAAGAAAGTGTGTTGCAACCTAGCAATTTAGTCCCTTTTATTTATTATACCCGGTAACCATGCCACATCATCCCGATTTGACACATCATCGATTGACATGGCGAAATTGTATTTACGTCTTGGACCCAAAAGACGTCGTTTTGGAATATGAAACGTAGAGGCCACATTCACACTATCCCCCCCCCCCCCCCCCCCCCCCCCCGACTCCGTATAAAATGTGAAGCTTGTGCCCTAAAATGGCACAATTCATAACCTGGTTATCCTAACTGCACCGTAAACTTCAATACCAATCGCAAAAACGATGCCTTCACGATCATCTCCAAATCACGGTTGGTCACCCAACTATAGTCGGCACATGGCTGAAAATGTCTCGAATGGAGTCACAAATGAAGACATGGCGATCAATATGCTGCAGACACAGTTGGAGGTGTCGCTTGTGAGGGAAGAGATTGCAAACGACCTTCGTGAACTATGACGCAACATCACTAGAGAGTTGGGCACACTAAATCATGAAGTCGATGATGTTAGGGCAGGTCAACTCGATCTATTTAACATGATTGCTGATTTGAAGAAGCATTTGTGTTCACTGCAAGCGTCGTTTGTCAACATCATTTTGGGTAAAAACAAGTGCAAGAAAGTGAAATAGGTTCTTGGGGTTTTTGTCGTTGCTATTGTGGGGGTGTTAACCTACAAGTTCTTAAAATGACAGAAGAACTTTAGGTTACAACATTTCAATCATGGGTTTCTATTTTGTTTTGATGTGCATCTGGTTTATTCTCCTTATTAGTAATGCGTTTTGTTCCTTGTCTTTTGGTTTCTGGTTGTAGTATTTGGTGGTTGTGCTTGGTGGTTTAGTGATCATGTTATTGTGATGATCAGTTTTTTGATGGTAGTCACAGGTGATCGTTCTCGTATGTACTTAAATAGAGGTGGAAATCCTATTTTAATTTGTTTAATAGATGTGAAGATGTAGAAACCCATGAATGAAATGTTGGTTAAGTTAAATGTTCATGTTATAAATCTAAATGTGCAGGTGTCGTGAAGTAATACCCATATTTTTTGTTTATTTTCTTCTTGGACCACATGACAAAGTCAAACATTTTAAACCATTAAAACATGAACCCCAATGTTTGTGTGTGGGACATGGGACAAAAGAGAAGAATCTAATACCTAGATTTGTCGTTGCCTATAACCTAGAAATGGGAAACAATGGAAAAGTGTTTTTTTTTTGTATTTCTGGTTGCCCACTTTGGATAATTGCCTGGAAGAAATGAAATACCCCTAATGAGTTAAGTCAAATAATAAGGTAATGACCGAAATACCCCTAATGGGTTAAGTCACATAAAAAATATTGACTGTAATACCCTGATGAGTTTAGTCAAATAAAAAATAATGACATAAATACCCCTATTTCTTTTACTAATTAAAATGACACTAATACACCTAACGGGACTGTAAGTAATTTAACTTCTTTGATTGACTAAAATACCCCTACTTTAATAATTACTTGAAATAACATACACCTATTGGATTAACTGATTCGAATGACTAAATTACCCCTAAACTAACATTCACATGCCCTCTTGAAACATTTGTAATGACTAAATTAGCCCGTACACACTAATATAAATTAGATCATACATAGTATAAATATATACGAATCCAAATATCAAATGTTTAGATTAGTATAACATACATGAACATAACAAACATAAATTCCCTTGTTCAATCCATATAAAGACACACAATTAAAATTGTAATTAATCTAACTCCATTGGCGATCCAACACTACTACCTTCACCTTCAACTCTTTTAGGAAGCTTTAGTTTAAGAATTCTCTCAGACTTTTTCCTCTTTCTTGGTTGAACTGTAGTATACATATGGCCAACAACTTGATTAACCATGCCCAGTTCCTCAGCTTCATCAACCCTCACCACTTGCTCAGTTTCGTTTACCCTCACAACTTCATCAGTTTGTGGCTCAACTGCATCACCCGTAACAACATCTTCTCCACCCCATTGCATATTCACTAATTCTTGTGTTTGTATGATCTTTTGTTTCTTTATGACATTAGTGTTAGGAGGCCTTTGCACTTGAGTGCAAGTGGTCTTGTTGTGACCTTTCTGTTTGCATATGCCACAAGAAACCTTTTTCCCTGCCTTGAAACTGTGTGTTTTCCATACCTCTCAGAAGCATCCCTTATTCTTTTCATTGTTGGCCTACCTAGCATTCTTCTTTTTAAAGGAGGCAATGGAGGTATAAAGTTTGTAGAATGCCACATGTTCATCCCATTCATGCGACTAATAGACTGTTTGTAGGTATTGTGGAAGAAGGCTCCCAGGTGTAGAGTTTTGAGCATTCTAACACTCCTATGGTGTACATGCAACCTTAGATACCTTGGATCTATGTTTTCTCTATTATACATGCAAACTTTCAATTTTCCAAGGCATCATCCTAACTAGCATATTATGGAGTATATACAATACAAAAATCTAGTTGAATGACATACCTTTTCTTGTAGCTTGAAACCTTAAGCTTTTAAGAGCCTAGCACCCCAAGTGTAATGCCTCAAATGCTTCACACAACACCACCAACAATAAAGAACTTAAGAGGAGGTTACTTCCACATTCCTCATGCTCCATGGGTTTTAACCTCCATGGAGTATCCATGGGTCACCACATGGGTTTAGCCCAACATAAGGAACTATGGATCATAAGCCCACTTTATAAGAATGAATGATTTACACAATCAATCCCCATATATTTAATTAGTCTCTTTTGATCACAAAACTAATTCCAAATTAATTCTTGATCAATACTAATTAAATAATATGATTTCATATTAATATATTAGAACTTATAATATATTAATAAATCATAAATATCCTCTTCTCAAAAGTCCATCCTACAAATTGTTTCGGTGCCATGCAACCCAAATGGACCATACTACTCTCGGGTCAAGTACATACCAATTATAGTTATGGGCTTACACACTAAATCCAACAGTCTCCCACTTGGATAAGTCTAATAACTATAACTGCAAGTACGACTAAAAACACCAACTAGCAATCGTAGCTCTTAAAAGCCTCTATCGAACTGAGACGCTCCATTTTAGATAAGTGATCATATAATCCTCCGATTTTCAAGATATCAGCTAGACAAATACATGGAACAACGTCGTACTTATTGTCCAGCGGTTTGTTTCTCGATTTCCGATTTGTTTGACATAGAACTTAATCGAACACATTAATTTAGTTCTGACCGGGCCCGATACATAGGTCAAAACAAAATGATCGAGGGGACCAAAATATCGATTTTAATCCTCCAAGGACTAAAAGGAACAAATAAACTTCAACTCATATGCTTGTACTAACTACTCATCAAATTGTACACAACAACACGTTTTATAGCATCAATTTACTGAAGCGGTTTCGTACTATCAATGCACAACCAAATCATAGTCAACAACTCATATCTCTTGGTTTGAAGACTTATATGATATTACCGTCTCACGATCACTCGAAATAAATTCCATGAAGTGATACAAGTGAGCGTGGGTTTAATCCAATACTCAGACCTTATGAGCACTCATGAATTTTGAAGCAAACTTTGCTATGTCTAATACAATTCAGACAAATCTACAAGCCAAATTCATGACAGTCTTGCTTCAATACCTACTTCCAACGTATGATCGACTGTGGATAGTTTGAATAATTATAATTATTCTGGAAGTCAAAACATGCAAAATGAAACAATAGTAAATGATTGACACAAGACAGTACCATACTAGTAAATAAAAAGCACCTTTTATTTAAGCATCAAATGTCAATTACATTTCAACTATTACAAGTTTCGAAAGCTATCTAATCATTAAAACTAATATCATTCTTCAGCCCAATGCGCCTCGCATGCTGTAAATGCTTAACCCTACTCAGTCCCTTCGTGAGGGGATCTGTTGGGTTCTCATCCGATGATACCCTCTTTGCCACGAGGAGTCCTTCTTCTATTCGATGTCTAATGAAGTGGTATTTTCTGTCGATGTGCCTAGATCTCCCATGATCCCTTGGTTCCTTAGCTAAGGCAACTGCACTCTCGTTGTCACAAAAAATCTCCATAGGCTCCTTTATAGCTGGTACAACTCCAAGGTCTCTGATGAAGTTCTTTAGCCATATTGCCTCCTTCGCCGCCTCACTTGCTGCTATGTACTCTGATTCGCAAGTTGAATCAGCTACTGTCTCCTACTTGGAACTTTTCCAAGTTATTGCTCCTCCATTCAGAGTAAAGACCCAGCCCGACTGAGAGCGGAAATTATCTCTGTCGGTCTGAAAGCTGGCGTCGCTACACCCCACCACTCTCAAGTCATCACTCCCACCGAGGGTAAGGACCTACTCCTTAGTCCTCCGCAGGTACTTGAGAATGTTCTTTACCGCAGTCCAGTGAGACTTGCCAGGATTCCCTTGATATCTGCTGACCATGCTCAAAGCAAAGGCCACATCAGGGCCAGTACAAGTCATAGCATACATGATCGAGCCAACAGCGGAAGCATATGGTATTTGACTCATCTCAACTATCTCAGCCTCTGTACTCGAACTCTGAGCTTTACTCAGTTTGGCATTGCTATGGAACGGTAAGTCACCTTTCTTGGAATCCTGCATGCTGAATCTTTTCAAAACCTTATCCAAGTAGGTACTTTGATGTCACACCCCCGAACCAGATGGCAGAAACGTCCGGAGGCTCGAGTGACTTTATCTTGGGATATCATCACAATGTACATAATTGAAACAAGACAACACCATCATCATACATATCAAAATACAACCAGCATTGTTTACATCAAGTATAGTATCATAAGTTACATGCCAAAATAATCAATGTATGATGATAACAAATATTCAACAAATTCCTTATGTTCTTGAAGACCTTTCCGCTCAACGATTCCCTGAGAATACAAGTTATTTTGAAAATGTCAACATATATAATGTTGGTGAGTTCATAAGCATGTTCGAATGAAAGTTTTGCACTGTTAGTAAAACACCAGAAAATCCGATATTTTCTGAAAAATAGTTTGAACGCGATGTGTCAAAACCAAGTATTAATGCATGTGTGTTTTCTGTTTTTGTATAATAAGATGCAATCCAGATTAAAATCATGTATTTCCTGTTGTAAGTAAAAAGTATTGTTTAACTTTGTGTTTCCCCAAAAAATCTTATATTTTCTGTTTATAAGAGTGTTGCGGTCTCAACCCTAAGACCAAATATCAGTGTATGTTTGTTTTTTGTATCAACAAGATCTTATAGGTGTTCCTTAAAATCGTGTTGGAGAGAATCTCTAAGTGAACCGTTTTAACCATACTTGATTTATGACGAATTCGCATGTCGTGGCGCTTGCAGGCGCCGACTTGATTAAGGTAAGGTTTGTCACCCTAGACTGGCCTAGTCTAACTGTAGAACAGCTCAGGTGTGGGGGGTCACCCCGTATAGATCTATACACAAACTCCCGCTCTCCCTCCAGGAGACGCTGGTTATAACTACAGGCTACGATCGTACACTCTAAAGGTGTCAACCGACATGTCTCACTAGATTCTTAATTGTGTTCACGCAAGTATGGTATAATGTTTTTTCCGAGTACGTTTTATATTTGAAAAGTCCAACGAGTATGTGTGTGAATGTACGAGGCCCAACGGACATGTAGGAGGACTACCAAGGCCCAATAAATATGTATATGGGCCACAAAGGCCCAATAAGCATGTGTTGTACATTCCGGACCTAATAAGCATGTAAATGGACCCTTAAGGCCCAATAAACATGTAAGGTAAGTATTAGGCCCAATAAGCATGTAAATGGGCCACTAAGGCCCAATGGACATGTAATGTAAGTATTTGGCCCAATAAACGTGTAATCGATGTATTTAGTCCGTTTATTGTTACATTGTTTGTTTTTGCTCGTTTGTTTACCAAAATAACGTAAAAGGCCTGATTTTTGTAATATTGACATTTTAGGCTCATTAAGCAGAAAATTTACATTTTAGGCACATTTTGACAAGATTGACACTTTGGGCCCCCTTATGACCAAAAGTTTACATTTAAGGGCTTAATTCTAATAAAATGTCATTTTTAGCCCACTTTGGTTAAAAATTATATTGTTGGCCCAAAAATCATAAAATTTGACATTTTCAGCCCAAATATATATAAATTGACATTCTTGGCCCAAAAATATATATTTTTGATGTTTTTGGCCCATTGTTATAAGAATTTTCATTTTCAACCCATTTTTGATAAAAATGACATTTTCAGCCCGAGTTTTGTGAAAATAACATTTTAGGCCCAAATTTATGAACAAAGTTACATTTTCAGCCCATAAAACTGTAAATTACATTTTTGGCTTAATTTGTGTTAAATAACAATTTAATCTATAAAAATCAAAATTTTTACAAATTAGGCCCAAGAAACCGTAAAGGCCCATATTAAGGCCCATTATGCAAAAATTTACATTTTTGGCCCTTTTAACACCAAGAATATCATAAAGACCCATTTTTATATAAATTTGACTCTTTTAGTCCTTATAAAACCGTAAATGTCATAAGAGTCTCAACTTTTTGTTTATTTGACACAAAAATAGCCCTTATACCAGATTTTGTTTAGTTTTTCCAATAACTTCAACATGTTTAACACTTTCATCTTTATAGAATGTTGCTTAAAGTGTTTTAGTTTACAAATCTCACCAATTTTTGTTAGAGTTTTCGAGATCTATAGTGTTTCATCACATTTTCACAACTTATAACAAGAAAAACACACATAAACATGCACAATACATAGATCTACCACATAAGCAATTTGTATTCTCCCCCAAAACAAAGTAAAACCGAAAACAAGGGGGGTATGAACTCATTTTGGGTTGTTGTTCTCGGTTTGATGAAGAGTTTGAAGAAGATTTTCGGCCCTAGGAGCTTCCTTGAGGAGGTTGTCGAATTCTATGAAGTTCAAGAGTATAGATCATGAAATGATGTGGGTTAAGAAGAGATTTTTG